GGCAAATTTAGACATGTGCAAATACGTCCCAGCTCGCTGACCAGTTGCTCCACTTTTGGCACAATCTACCGCAGATGGACATTGACAAAGTAACAGACTTCACGCTCAACCATATGTAGGCGTGTATAGCTGTCAGGAAGTCTCAACCACCTGCTGATTTTCACATTCTTTGCATTACTACTCGGAAATAAAATGCTTTTTTCGAGTTGCACTATTGGCAAGTTTCGTAGTTACGGCTCAGTTCTTTCTGGGTGCATATATTGGTTTTACTGCAGAGTGTGTATAGAAAATCAGAAATGATTTGAAAATTCTGCAGCCTATCTGAAGTACAAATAATTAATGTAAAATAAAATCACGAAGACTAAACTTATACTGAGAGATTCTGTTTTTAGGGGCTGAGATGATAGAAAATAGAATGTAAAGATACAGTACGAGTATTATCTTCTAACATTTGATTATTGTTTGAACCCATTAGGCTAAGTTAGTCAGCAATATCTGCATTTCGTATCTGCAGCTTCAAGCTCGAAAGTCTAAATTTAGATATGCTGTAGCTGATCTGAAATGCTTGAAATATATATACTCTCTTGACTGTTTACAGTAATATACTTATTTATCGTGCAGTTAGTGGAAGGCCAACGGAAAGAGGAAATTGTCTCTAAATTTCTCTTTTAAAACACTGTACACGTCTTTGCAATTATGTACACAAATATTAAAGATGTTTTCTCATTTTGCTTCTTATAATGCTAATTCATATTTCTTTCGGTTAGCGAGATTTTTAGTAGACTGAATAAGTAAAAATATTATTTTAAAGCAATTAACACGTTAATAGTGCTACTGAAAGCACTATGAATGTTCTACTATGTAAGTGATAAACTTTATTTATGCATTCTTCTACCATTCATACTCAAGAGTGTCTTTGAGGACAGGTTGCTACAGAATTACATTCATCTAAATTAAAGCTTTAATATTACGAACACCTAAATGTGTAGTGAAATTTAGGTGTTTATATAACCATAAGGTAATAAGTAGCTTTGTCGGCGATTAACTATACCTATTTGTGTAGCCACATGTCATTATTAGAAAATGTACATAATCCAGCTACTTGTAGACCCAAAGAATCTCTAAAACAGACAGTACATATTAAAATGGCTAATACGTTTGCTAACTTAGATATACTAGCAGCAATTTGCCGATGAAAGAGTAATGGTTTTGTAGGTAAGAGAGACATAGAGCCACACCGCCTATATAAATCATATTCATGTTGCTTTAACAGCGATTATCTTAAGTATTTCATACAGATATTCAAGAATGGAATTTATATCGTATTATTTAATATATTCTTCTCTTAAAGATTACGTTGAAATAAACATTTTACAGTTAAAACAATGTTAATTGTGGTCTGGTGTTAAAGAAAAAGTTTATGCATTTTTAGTCAAACAAACACGAATCCTTTTTTTCTTGGAGCAAAGGTATTCTGCGATATAGTCATTTTAATAGGCGAATTCATGCTTGTAATAATTTTGAGTAAATTGAATAGTGTATAAATAATCGTAGCATTATTTATCGGGTACAACGTAAATGAAAGCTTTCATTCCTAATGATCATTCAACTGTCCCTAATGATCTACTCATTAAATTTCTACCTTTAATGGTCCCCATTTCGAAACCCTTTTAAAATTTTGATTTCTGCTATTAAATCAATCAAGTTAAAACCGCTCTTATATCTTCATATTTCCTTCCATATCATTTAAATAAATTAATAATTACATTTATTTTTCTTAAAAATTAGGACTTCATGTTTCAATGTTCTCAAAGCTGACATTTTCTTTTGCTTTATTGTTTCACGTTTGGAATGATTTCATCATTAGCTAGATGTTTTGTCTTAATTTTCGATTAATTTCCAATAATACTTTCCAATAATTCAAATAAATGTTCAAAAAGCATTTGAAGCTATCAATAAATTCAATTTTATTTTTCCTGGAAATTCAGTAGGTCTAAAATTGATATTAAATCCTCTCAATACAGTTTCAGTGTATTTCAAACTAGAATGTCTTGAAAACGGACTAAGAATTCCATGTCTTTTGTATTGAAATTGAGGAATTAACACTTTTTTTATTATTTTTTAAATCAGAGTCGTTTCATTTTCAAAATGCCGCTATTGCAAAATACGAGAATTTTTTAAAATTTAAATACAAGTCTTAAGGTAAATAATTTTGGGGCTTTTTTAAGTACATTTAAATATATTTTTTCGAAAATAATTCTCTCTGTCTCCTTCATTTTCTCGCAGTTTCTTACAATCGCAATCAGGTTCATTTAACACTATAATTTATCTAGAAGCTTTTACTGTTTCCCTTTCTCCCTTTGCCAAATCCTGTAATTGGAGAACAAAATTAATAAATAAAATGGCTTCTTTCCACTCTTACGGTTTGTTTTGGGCACACTTATCTCGCTTAAGAAACCAGTTGCATGAAGACTTTTCTATCGACTGATTTGAAAGCTACTGATGTTTTTTTCCTTGTTTTATTGATAAGGTATTTAAAAAGTTTTCGTCTTAATATTATAAAGAAAGATCTTTCATAAAAGCTATCTTGACAACGTTAACGTTCTATTCTTCACTTCTTTTAGTTAGAAATTTATTCATAGATTCTCTTTAAATTCAGCTTCCAAATTATTTTGTTTTTTATTTTAGTGAACATCGTTGTTAATATTTTAAAAAACTTACATCAGATTTTAATTTTGCCGGACTTAATATATCACATCCCTCGTGAATGTAACTTATCATATATAACACAAACTTAAACAACGTTATACTTCGAATTAAAGAACATGAATACTATATATAATAAAAAAAAAGAAATTAAATCAGTCTTTCATAATAGAACAACATTATTGATTCCTTAATTATTCCTTTTAATATTAGTTCCTCTAAAATTATCAATAGGATTTCTTCATTTGGTAAGTAAAGCTTTTGTGATATCTTTCCTATTTACCACAACCTTTAATTTAGGTTAAAAAAACACGCCAAATAAAGATTCTTGTCGTTTGACTTCTCTAATAATCACAATCTGTAAATTTTAGTTCATAATTTAAGATCCAACCCATGTTTCCTCTGAATTTGGAAAAGCCCTTAGTCTCATAATCTATATCGCTCATATTTTTAATTTTCCAGTTCTAGTTTCTGTTGTTTTTTCTTTTCTTTTCAGTTTTTTCTTCATTTACTCTGTATAAATGATGTATTTTTGGCTTGGAAATATTTTCACCCTTTGGAAACTAGAGACATAATACCTTTCTCTCTCAAAATTAACAGAGATTTATTTACAAAATGGTATCAACGGAAGGCTAAATTTTGTCATAATATAAATTTCACATTGAAGAACTCGTTTTCTAACTACTTTTTTAAACCATTCCCTTAATTAATTAGACTTTGTTAAAGAAAGATAAAGGATATTAAAAAGAAATCTTCAAGAAAAGCTACAAATATAATTTGTCACGCTAACAGAATCTACTTAAAGAAAATGGATGTTTCAGACGCATCCCACTGAAAGGCCCTAGTTCGTTGAGATAATAAAGAAGATATTTCTGGTCTGACATTTATTTTGTTAGACCACCCAAGTACGTCTCAGTCTCTTGTTCAATCCAAACACAATGGTGCAGCAACCTTGATTAGAGTGTAGCTTACTCATTAGCCATTGCCAATCGAATTTTGAATACAAACGACGTTACGAAGTGTATATTTGATTGCCGAGGTTTTATGCATAATACATGAGCAATCTGTTCTGCTCTATCTGAGAAATGCAATTAGATCACTCTTTCTTTGTGGCTGAGTTCCTTTTTATTTTCCTTTTATCTTATTGCATAGAAGATCGTAATAAAAACATTGATTTTAAAATCTTACAACTAATTTGGAAATTTATTGTCGACATGTTGCTTACTTTTATTGCGTAAAATTTTATAAGTTTTTATTAATTATAGAAAATAATAAAGATTATCAAAAATAATAAAAAATAAAAATGTAAATAAATTAAAAGGAAAAGATGAAAACCATCGATATAAATACCTGGTATTGCATCGATCTTTCTTAAATCATTGTTAGTTAAACAACATTTGCTAATTAGTATGGTTAATTAAATAATAACTATTACTCTAAAAAATAAAAAGAATTTGAAAGCTTTCAGATTTTATATTACGTCCAAAGGGGCATGTTCTAATGTTTTATGTGTTACTTTTATTTATTAAATACCATTTTATTGGCACTTATGGTCACTCGCCATAAAATTCAATTCAACAGCAATATTACATATTTAAAAAAGAGCATATCTTTATAATTTCGATACACAGTCGCACGCGCTGGAGATAAAAATGGCTTTTTCTTTCCGTATAGTTTTGCCATTGTTCACATTGAAATCTTTAACTAAAAATTTGTTAAAGATTTACAAAATATGAAATAGATAATGAAACAAATTCCAAATTTTGGCTTTCAGATGCCCATATTCGAGAAAAGAGCTATGGTATTGAAAATTTGATGTCTCTAAGTACCGTCGTTTTTTTCAAAATGCTAGAAACATACATACATTCATGCAGATTCTTCATTATTTAATTTCTTTTAATAAAATACACAGCGATAATATTTGGTGGCAACAATTTTCAAAATGATATAACGCATTTACGTGCATGAACACAAACTGCCGTTTCAAGACTAATATTTCATTATGAGATAAAAAATCTTGAAGGCTTATACAGAAATTAAAACCTTCATAAAAATAGGGTTTATGATGTACAATAGAAATTAATTCCTAAGAAATTCTATTGTACTAATTTTATTTTGCATCAATACGCAATATTCCGTCATTGAATTCCTCTCGTGTATTTATGCAAGTATATAACGTTTCAATATTAGCCGTTATAGGATTTATGTGTTCTGATATCATGATTCTGTTTGCATGATACAGTTAAAATTTCAAATGTGGTTTGATTATTTTTCATGCTTAAAAGATAGCTTACCGTCTTTAGATGGAGGCTTAGGATCATCCCAATAATCTGAAAAAAAAGGATAAATCAATGTAAATAAGAAAATGAATAAAAATTTTAATATCAACATTCAAACTGTGCAATTTGATGCTGAAACATTTAATTGATCACACCTTTGCTTGCAATTTGAAAAGTATTTAAAAATTACCTTCAAAAAATCAACTTCAAGATCTACATGACATAATTCCATTCTATTCTCTAACCCATTAACTACTGACGTTGTGTTTTTTGCAACATTAGTTAAACAGTGTTTTTTTGTCTTCTGTATAGTGTTTTTGCTTTAACGTTTTATGTATATTGCAGATAAAACGTCACAGTTTCTGGGAAAAAAATTCTCTCACGCTACAAATTTTTTGCAAAGTTTTTTCTTTTAAGTTTCAGTAGATCTCATAGAAAGCACAACCAAACAAATACACTACACGATATTGAAAACGCAACACAAAGAAGGAGTGGTCTGAAAATTATGCAAATTTCAGGGCAGACGTACGTCACTGAGATATGCGAATGATGTGAAATGCGCAGCTCCCCAGCGCACATTGAAGAAGATATAAGGGAAGGAACCTGAAAAATTTTCAGTTTCGTGCCCTTATTTCTGATAGGGAAATCATGGTAGAAAATTAGTTCTAGTGTCAGAGAACGCGTGTAATAGCAGAGAATTTCAGGTTGTCATCGACGGAGGCAGCTCCAGCAGACAGGATTTTAAGAAGTTCAATGATTTTAAGGAGGACTGAGAAGGGCAGGTTGGTCCATACGGCAAATCTCAGCTGACACACATCTCGACACGTCCGAGATGCACTGGCTGTGGCAACTGTGGTTGAAACAAGGAAATATGACAAATTCGAGGCGTGCCAGTGCAGCCAGACTGATGTCAACACTGATAGATCAAAGCACAAGCCGACACGCGGTGGTTCACCCGCAAGCATTTCTACCTCCATTTCTTCAGCGTGTTCAAGAAACCCTAGTTGTTCCCATATCGACCAAAACCATTTGCCGACGATTGATGGCTAGTGGCCTGTACTTGTCCGTTCAGAAGACTGCCATTAACCCCACATCATACACGTCAACGTCTGAAATGGTGCCGGGTTCGAGCAATGTGGACGACGAAATGGCATAGGGTCGTGTTCTCAGATGAGTCACGCTTCTGTTTCTCCAATGATAGTCGCCGCATACTAGCGTGGCGTCGATGGGGTGTAGTTCGTATCCAGAGCACTATGATGGCCCAACGATACGTGGATAATTTGATGCGGCTTGTGTCACTCCCCTACCTTCATGGAGTGCTCAGTGCCCTTTACCAGCAGGATAACGACCGACCACACAGTGCTTGCATCAGCGAACGTACTCTGCAAGTTAGATGCTTCCCTGACCACTATTCGCTCCTGATCTCTCACCAATTGAACACATTTGGGATGTGATTGGAGACTACTTTCAGATCTTCCCATTGCCGCGTTCAGAAGACGAACTGTAGGAAATGATTGACAGGGAATGGAAAGTGATTCCTCAAGACACCATCTATAGTCTCATTGACTCTGTAACTAGACGTATTGCTTCGTGTATCGCCGTCTAAAATGGTCCTACAACCTACTGAGTCAACGCTGATCTCGCTCTGTATTATGCATATCATTTCGAAATAAAGACCACTTATTGTCCGTTGCTGTCTCTCAATCTTTGCCGAGTTTCGTCACTTTCTGACCACTTCTTCTTGGTTCTGCATTTTCAATGTCAGGTAATTTACCTACTGCAATAAGAAAAGACGCTTTCTTCTCCCTTTCGCAAAATTTTGTACGTTATACATTTTTATCTAATCAGTTATCAGCATCGAACTAATAAACTTAAATGGAGGTTTTTGGTGTTCGTCTCTGTGTTAAAAAAGCAGTGTCCTTTTTATGTGATAGTACTAGAACGATCCTTGGAGGCTGGCTGTTTCGTATCATGTGAGAAAGCAGAAAAATTGCACTCCCGAAACTATTATTCTCCCAAAAGGTTTTAACGTGTGAAACCACTTTAATCTTTATCTTCCCTTCTTGCAGGATAATATCGGCCAATAACATGAGCTTGTTGCAACGTTCTCTGGGATGCATGGGTAACGTTCTCTGGGAAGAGACGGTTAAATAATAGATGGCTTCGGCTATTGTCGGACAGTGCTTTAAAGCATAAGTATTTGGCTATTGGAAACGGGAGGTTCCAGGACGACTACCCAAGTGTGCTTTTTTGTAATCAATTAAACAACTAATGATGCTTCAGATATAAATAGCTTTGATCAATTTAAACTACCCTGTGTACCAAAAATGAATTAACACTTACTAAAAATGATATAACTAAGTTTTAAACATATTTGCTTTCTTAAGATAGGTGTGTGATAGTAAAATATAAATACCATGTTTCAATACAAACTTAGTGAAATCAAGAGAAATATAAAAAAAGTACTGTAAAGAGAAAAAAAGATTTTTTAATTTATAATAGTATTATTTCTTCTTCTTTTATATAAAAATGTACTAATGTATAACTAATACTGTAGAGCCATTAGGTTATTTCGAAGTAGGAGAGATGAAAAAAAAAAAGCAATGCCCTCGCCGGGACTCTAACCACGGACCTCTCGAATACGCGTCGAGCATGCTGACCACTACACCACGAAGGACTGCTGAGAAGGCGAGAGAAATACCTTATAATATTAGAATGTAACATATGATGAAAAAATAGATTTAGAAACACATAATTATTATTTAATAAAATTCATAAAAGTGTTATTTATTATTATTATAATTATTTTAACAATTTATTATAATTATTACAATAATTTATAACAAATAAAAGAGAAAGTAAATAATACAGAGGTTGTTCGCTCATTTTTTACATAATTTTGCTGTGGTCTTAAAAAGCAACTCTGCTTAGATTTGTTTTAAATGCAACCATATTTTTAAAAGCATAAATTATTCTCTTCATTTTGACAATTTTATTTTCATGCAAAATGTCACTTTTAAAGAAGAAATGGATGGAAGGTAATCCTTATGCTCTTTCGAAAAAAATTTTTCGTATCTAGTTATTAAAAAATGTTGTAAAAGCCGTGGTTTTTCGATATCAAGAGCTACGATAGGAAATATTGTCAACAACAAGGGGGGGGGGGAACCTCAAAATTTAGCTTCAAGTGAAAAATAAAATTGTTCGAAATACGTATCCGAAAAAAAAAAAATTAACTGTTTCAAATGTTGCAAATGTAAGATATTTAATTTTAATAGAAAATCCACCAAATCAAAGGACAGTTGCAAAGTCATTAAAGGGCTCGTTGTAAACTGTAAACAAAGTGATTAATGCTGATTTGAATCTTCACTTCAAAAGCAAAAAAAAAAAAAAAAAAAAAAAAAAAAAAAAAAAAAAAAAAATCTGAAATGTTTCAGATTTTAAATTACGTCCAAAGGGGCGTTTTTTTTAACGTTTTGAGTGTTACCTTTATTTATTAAATATCATGTTCTTTGCACTTAAACCATAAAATTCAGTTCAAGAGCAATATCGCAAAATAATGTTAAATTAAGCATATCTTTAGAATTTCCAATATACACAGTCTCGCGAGCTGGAGATAAAAGTATTTTTTTTTTCTATAACGTTGCCATTTCTCGCTTTTAAAGCATTGAGTTTGTAAATCAAAAATTCGTTAAAGTTTTACAAAATATAAAAATCTATAATAAAACAAATTCCAAATTTGGGATTTCAGATGCCCATATTCGCAGTAGGATTTCGTCATTCAAAATTCGATGGCTCTATGTACCATTGTTTTATCACAATGCGAGAAATAGACAATCATTTATGCTGATTTTTCATTATTTAATTTGTTCAAATATAATGCAGGAGTCTAACATTTTGTGGCAACAGTTTGAAAAGTGAACCGACGTTTATGAGTCCGACGCAAAATCGCAAAACGAAAACAATAGTCCTTCAGGGACAAAGCCCCTTTGGACTAAAAAAAAAAAAAAAAAAAAAAAAAAAAAAAAAAAAAAAAAACATAATGTGCATTGTCTTTCTCCAAGACACATCACAGAGCGCAGAACGCGCTGAAGAATTCTTTATGAGAATCATTTTTTCTGGAGAAAAACGGAAAAATATTGCCACAATCGATGAATCTTGGGTATACTTAAATGAGTGCAATAAAACAAGATCCATTTATTATCATCAAAGAGGAGAAAAAAATCTTGAAACATCGTTCAAGGAACGTAAAGAAAGTTATCTAAGGGATTTATGATTGATGTTCGTTTTTCATTACAACGGCAAATTAATAATAAAGAGAATGGAGAGAAATGTTAAGATCAACTGCACATATTATCAAAAACATATTTTGTGAGAAATGTTAAGATCAACTCCGCATATTATCAAAAACATATTTTATATCCAATTTTCAAATATGGAATACTTTATTTTTACACACTGTGGGATAAGTCAGTAGAATTGCGCCCACCAGCCGGTAAAGTCGCTGAACACTGGTAGTTCGTTCCGAGGTTCGAATCCTGCGAACGGGCTGGCTGCATGGGTGTTTTCGTGGTTTTCCCCATGTGTAACGTGTATACGAGCCAGTTTCCCTTAGAAAGTCCTCCACGAAAGCATCCATCCCCTTAGGCAGATAGGCCTAGTGTGCTTTGCCATAATTAAATACACCAATACAGTAGAATTGCATCAAAACAAATCAAGCAGCGATACACCAAAATCTGCTGTTAATTTCCTGGAAAAATAAAACAAAAAACGGATGACAAGGACATATCTTTCACTCATATCCGTATTAAATCTCGTGATCTACCACCAATGTATTTTTGCGCTTTTACACGACCTGCAACCTCCTTAGATTTCGGAAAGCTGCTCGAGAGCATTGTGATAAAATATCCTTTCGGATATTACAAAAGCTTTTATTTGCCTTGGAAATTCGGAGTATAAAGACAATGAAGAATAAGAGTAATCAAACAGAACATTTAAAGCATAAAAATTTTAGTTAAAGTATTTCTATAATTACAATAAAAATCGTCTAAAAG